TTACATTCAGAAATTCGGGACTTAAATACGGATTTGATGCACGAGAAAATAGTGCATATTGGACGTGAAGAAGGGAGCGAGTTGCACGTGGGGAAAAAAACGAGCCTGATTTAAATGTCACACCTGAACGCTCACATCTTTTTAATTATGTTTGAAATTATGAACATTGCTCAACATCATGAAAATTAAACCTTATTTTCAATAAGCAATCCTGAAAAATATTTGGGGGTGCTTAACTTTTTTCCAGGTGTATATATAAGCCCGGCAAATGAAGCGAGAGGAGAAGTGACGGCATAGATAATTGCAGACAAATAGCAGATTGAAGAGAGATATAGAGACAGATAATTGAGTCAAGTGAGCGGTAGTGACCGTAAGAAAGTGCGTGAATCGTTGTGAATTATAGTGTGTGTTTAAGTTAAAGTGACTGTGGAAATTCTGTGTATTGGAAAGTTGTATTGAGAAAGAATAAACTAGTTTTATTTAAGAAAGGACTTGTATCGCTGAGGTTTTTCGGAAAGAATTTCTACGGGAAAGTAACAAATGAAAAGAGACGTAACACACCTGCTATGATAAGTTTGGTTTATACTTGAATATAGTGTAGTTAGTAGAACTCAAAACACCTGCTATGTGATACGATAAGTTTAGTTTATACTTGAATATAGTGTAGTTAGTAGAACTCAAAACACCTGCTATGTGATACGATAAGTTTAGTTTATACATGAAGGCGGTGTTGTTAGTTGAACTCAAAACACCTGCTGTGTGATACGATAGGCTAATTTTATACTTAAAGACGATGTTGTCACTTGAACCCAAAACAAGATACATTGGAAACACTACACTTATTGAGAGAAACCAGTGTTTAATACCACACAATAAATACTTAAAACGAGATTGTCCCCAGTCTCAAAGTAAAATAAAACCTTTATTCTATTATCTACTGCTGAGAGATGAAAATCTGAGCCAGGAAGTCTCACACACACACACAGGTACACCTTGTTGAAGAATCACATGATCAGAGGCAAATCTGTATACTGATTTGAGTCAGAATTTCGCGCCATCTACTGACAACTTTTTCCTTACTCCTTATTTAAGATATTAAGATTATTTTTAATATATTCGATTATTTCAGTAGGTTCACAAATATTATTACCATTAATATTCGTATGTTGTTCCAAAATAAGATTTCTATTTGATTTATTTTATACTAAAGGTAAGATCTTAATTTTGTTATTCTAACGCATATTAATCTCAATTTGAAATTTCTTCTAGTTTGTCCTACATAAATATTCCATATTCACAAGTTGTTCTTTTGACACCAGTTTTTTCATTAAATCAATTGTGTCTTTAGTTATATTAAGACTGTGGCTAACCTTGTTTATCGGTCTACATATCTATGCGTATAAATACTAAAGATGTGGTGATACAGCGATAAGAGTATCGTATCGGGAAGCCGTGATACGATTGTATCGATACATCGTCCGATACGATTTATGTAACTTCACGAAATTTGGCAAGCTTTCAGTAAACATTATAAGTCTTTTGTACAGGAAAAAGAACAACAGAATTTCTAAAAAGTATTTTTGCTAAAAATTAGTTATTCAATAAAGGAAGATGAGTACTACATGTTGTCTTTATTTCTTTTATCAAAAACATTACATGCAAAGTAACGTAACAAAACAGACACAAATATTACATTGTTTGTTTTTATTTGACCTCTCTTGCCAGCTGCCATTTAGTTGATCAAACCTGAGAATCTGAAAATGCACTGTAAAACGTCTGGATCTAGATACGTTTCGTCTATGATGAGATACGTACCTCTGATAAAGATTACCGTAGAGAAGATAAAGTTGGGTTTTCAAGTCTCTTGAAAACTCAGTAAAACTAGAAAACCGATTACAGTATGTAGATCATTCATCATATTAAAGATTATTAGTTTTTTATGTGATATTCTCTTGTACAGTTTCTCCTTTGGGGAAGTCAGTACTAATTGAGTTATCTTCTAAACTGTGCATTTAAAATCATTGGTGGAAACACGAAACTGTAGAATAACATTTTGTTTTATTCATAAGTTAGAAAACAAATCACATAGAAATATCTGTTGCACACACTGACTGCTATTATAGTTTTAAAAAATGAAAATTTGTACAACACGTTCACGCCAGAAGTAAGTCCACAAGGTTTCTTCCTCGTTTTTCTAAATAAACGTACATCACATCATTTCATAAGTCAAAACAACAGCTGGTCCACAATGCAGACTTCTTGTTAGGTGAAGAATCCTAGACACTGGTTACTGGGTGTTCGCTAGCCGTGTGCCAATCGTGGTAACTGACCACAGTTGTTGAAACTCTTCCATAGACTGTGCCTTAATAACATGAAAAACATTCTGTGAAGAAACATAACTTTTACATAACGCTACAGAAAAAAAAATATATATATATATCTTCGAACTGGTGTATTTAAGTGTTTCGTGAGTGTTAAACACTTAAAACACCAGTTCGATTTTTGATACCTCACTACTATAAAGGCTTGGTTCGGTCTGATATTTCATTGGTGGTAGTGTCCAGGGTCACTGATGAGGAGTGGAATTCTCCGAAACTAGTCTGACTCAAAGACCCCCCCCCCCCCATGATAGAATAGACCATTCCAAGCTTTTACTTGTTGTTAAACAAATGTTTAAACAACTCTATTTATTCAAATGTATATATCTTATCAACTCAAAAGAACAGACTAAGATTTATGGGTTTTTGAGACCTTTTTAATTCATTATATAGTAACCTAAATTCATTTAGTTGTGTGAATAATATTATGATGTTATGCTTAACTTATATATTATTTAATATAATACAGCAGACCAACTGTTTAATAATTCTATAAGCATGTTACAAATTTCTTGTCTTTCCAAAAGAGGTGAAATTGAAAATATCATCAATACTAAGTTAGATGCAATATCATAACACACCTAAATTAACTTAAAATACAATATCACAAGAGGCCTAACTGTATTTCTTTGGTTTGCTGACCTAAGCTGTGTTGATGAGCCTTGAATAGGTGAAACTGTAGCCCACAACAGAATCATTAAAACAATACACTTTTAAACACTTGTTTTTAAGCAGCTATACATGTTGTTCTAACCTTGTATTCACAACGTGTTGTTGTTCAAACCTTGTATTCACAAAATGTTGTTGTTCTGACCTTGTATTCATAAAATGTTGTTGTTCTGACCTTGTATTTACATGCTGTTGTTCTAACCTTGTATTCACAACATGTTGTTGTTCTAATCTTGTATTCACAACATGTTGTTGTTCTAATCTTGTATTAACAACACGTTGTTGTTCTAACCTTGTATTCACAACATGTTGTTGTTCTAAGCTTTTATTAACAACATGTTGTTGTTCTAACCTTGTATTAACAACACGTTGTTGTTCTAACCTTGTATTCACAACACGTTGTTGTTCTAACCTTGTATTCACAACACATTGTTGTTCTAACCTTGTATTCACATGTTGTTGTTCTAAGCTTGTATTAACAACATGTTGTTGTTCTAACCTTGTATTAACAACACATTGTTGTTCTAACCTTGTATTCACAACACGTTGTTGTTCTAACCTTGTATTCACAACACATTGTTGTTCTAACCTTGTATTCACAACATGTTGTTGTTCTAACCTTGTATTAACAACACATTGTTGTTCTAACCTTGTATTAACAACATGTTGTTGTTCTAACCTTGTATTCACAACATGTTGTTGTTCTGACCTTTTGTTCACATGTTGTTGTTCTAACCTTGTATTCACAACATGTTGTTGTTCTGACCTTTTGTTCACATGTTGTTGTTCTAACTTTGTATTCACAACATGTTGTTGTTCTAACCTTGTATTCACAACATGTTGTTGTTGTTCTAACTTTGTATTCACAACATGTTGTTGTTGTTCTAGCCTTGTATTCACAACATCTTGTTGTTGTTGTTCTAGCCTTGTATTCACAACATCTTGTTGTTGTTGTTCTAACTTTGTATTCACAACATCTTGTTGTTCTAACCTTGTATTAACAACACGTTGTTCTAACCTTGTATTCACAAAGCTGTTCCAAAGAAGCTCCTCTTTTAGCTTGAAGATACAGCATATGAAACAATTTTCCATCAAAAAACATCCAAGGCATAGTGTGCAACAACGGATATGGCTCACCACACAAACTAAGAACCATGCCAACTGTGGAAACTCCCCGAACAAATGTTGAGGCTAGCTGAACTGCTCGACTGTCCACGAAGGAAACCTACATGTGAAGAACAACCTTTTTAAATGGATATCGTAAGATTACCCAGAGGTAACTTAACACAATGAAACCCTTTAATACCTTACTGGTTATTTCACCACATTGGGAACTAAGATTCAAATAGATTCTTGTCATTTTCAATACAGAGTTTCACTGTAACACACACTCTTCACTCTGCGATATTGTGAACAAATATTAAGTCGTTAACTTCAGCACTTGCAGTAGTTATGTGGGTATTGTCCTTTTTTTTGCCCTATATAACCAGTTTTGTCAGTTGTATGGTATACGTCTACATTAAGTCAACTGGACAGGGTGACCAGACATCCCAGTTTTGCCAGGACAGTCCTGTTCTTTTGATACTTTGTCCCAGTGTACTGAGAAAAGTTCTTGGGACACACAAATTGTCCCGATTTTATGATAAAGACATCAACATGTGTGTGAAGGGTGAGAAACTTAAGTCTGAATGTGGAGACAGCTAAGACAGGGCTTATTATCAAAACACACCTTACAAAGTCAGGCACTAAATTTTATAACTATTTAATGAAGAAAAAACAAAATTTCTACACTCCATTTATTCTTCACAAAAAATATGTCTAAAAATTGTTAAAGTAATAATAAAACCTAAAAGTAGTATGTTTGAAAATGTTATGGAATCTTATATAAATCTAGATATCAAGTAGCTTATTTTAAGATGAATTGGATAACGTACATAATTAAGTGTTTCTTGGATGTATAATTTACCTCATCTGTTTTGTGTCTATCACCAAAAAAAAAAAAAAAGCAGTTGAAATTATTTCATAAATAATACCAATATTAATACATCTGGAAATATTGTGGAACAGTTCAATAAATTTAAAGTAAATTAAACAAAAGTTACATTATTTCAAATTTGTAATAACCATTTTGAAATTAGAAGTAAGGGCTAGGCTGTTTCAGTTTTTTGGTTTAGAAATTTGGTCATTGTATGTTTGTTCAGTTCAGTGTTATGACCTTTGAACTGAGAGGTATGCTACCTTCATACTTATAAAATCACCGCAGGCTAAACTACAGAGTAACAGGTAAAAACACCAACAACAATAAAAGTAAACAACTAACACATGTTAATCACAGCATTAATGGATGGCTATATATATCATTGTTTCTGATCATTAACATAAAGAGTCATTCTGGACAGGTTTTGACTGGACAAAAAAAAAGACGTTTGGCAGTATTTTTGAGATGTAGGTTGCTAGACCAGAAGTGTGAATGAACCCGTGACCATGAGAGCCAACACGAAGAGGTTAACTTGTAAATGTAAAGTAAAATGAAGTAGGAATGAAACAAGGTTGAAATGTTCTCAGTGTGGTTGTGAATATGATGGTTTAAGTGTAGCGATAAAAATAAATTGTGGGTCTAGCTGAATTGATGGTTTGTCATTTGATTATTGCATTGACAGCAAAACATAAAATAATGGGCACAGTAGTATCATTACCTTCAAAAAGTGGAATATATAAGAAATCATTAGTTCTAATATTTTGTGAAACTAACGACACAGTAAAGCCCAAAGATGTAGTGTTGAAGTTGAAACAGATGCACGATCCATCACAAGATGATGTCCCTAGCAATTCTCAAGTTAAAAATGCAGAAAATAAGAAGGATGGTATAATGCTCAGTATGGTACCATCATAGCTTAATCCATACAGATTTTATCAGTTATATTTTCATTAATATTTAGTTTTTTGTTGTTTTTTTCATTTATCAAGATCTATCGAAATAACCCTAAATCAACAGTTTCCAGAATGACCCCCCTATTAACCATCCTAGTATCAGTATTAAATGATGCTGGGCTGGCAGGTGTTAAAACCACTAAAACAACAAGTGTGTGTTCTAATCAAACTTACAGAGCTATTGTAGGCTTGTATCAAATGCAATAAATGGTAGTCTCTTGTTACTCTTATTGATAATTGCCCTTTTTCTTTTTTTACTCATGTAAAAACTGGTTTTAAGTTTAAAATCTATATACTGTCTGTTGTATGTATCTATATAAATATAATAGTAGTGTCTGTTGTATGTATCTATATAAATATAATAGTAGTGTCTGTTGTATGTTATCTATATAAATATAATAGTACTGTCTGTTGTATGTATCTATATATATATAATAGTAGTGTCTGTTGTATGTATCTATATAAATATAATAGTAGTGTTAGTTGTATGTTATCTATATAAATATAATAGTACTGTCCATTGTATGTTATCTATATAAATATAATAGTACTGTCTGTTGTATGTATCTATATAAATATAATAGTAGTGTTAGTTGTATGTTATCTATATAAATATAATAGTACTATCTGTTGTATGTATCTATATAAATATAATAGTACTGTCCATTGTATGTTATCTATATAAATATAATAGTACTGTCCATTGTATGTTATCTATATAAATATAATAGTACTGTCTATTGTATGTTAGCTATATAAATATAATAGTACTGTCTATTGTATGTTAGCTATATAAATATAATAGTACTGTAAATTGTATGTTATCTATATAAATATA